TAATATATATTTAAAGTAAAACCAAAATATATATTTAAATAGATTAGGTTTTTCATACAAAACTGAAGTTTTTTGTGCAAATATATCATAAATACCTGGATTTTTTTTAAAAAAAGCTTAAACAAAACACAAATAAAATATATCAACTTTTAACATGCATTAAATTTTAAAAATATTAAATAAAAAATACTAACCTGTGAATGTGATGCTTGAGTCTTGAGAAGTTGAAACTTGAGAGTTGAGATTTGAGAAGATGGGAGAGCCAAGTGAATGAGTGATGTTGAAATTTGAAAATCTTGAGAGTGCTTGAGCCTTGAGGCAGACCAGGAAAGAAAGAGTCAAAGAAGAATGAAATTTGGAAGAAGACTAGAACTTGCAATGCTAAGAGAGTAGAGAACCTCTAGTCTAAGAAAGAAATGACTCCTATTTGCTTGTTTGGTGTAAAGGTCCTTAGAGAGTAGGAAACCTCTCTTTTAATCTTTCAAAAAATTCAAGAAGCCAATCTTTCTAAAGGTGTGTAGGGACTAGGGACTAGGGATTTTGCTTGCCTTGCAATGCTTGCCATTAATGCCAATCCTAAATACTAGAAAGAATATAACTAAGTTAGAAGAAAATTTTAATGCTAAAAATAAGTAACTAGAAAGAAGTAGGATAGAGAAAACCTAGTTAGATAACTTGGTTCAGTTCGGTTTTCATGTGTGAAAACCGAAACTGAACCGAATTATCGGTTTACCCGTCTTTACAACCCGAAATTGACTGGTGGTGAAGAAAAACTGGTCAAATCGGGTTGGGTCGGGCCGGGTTGGTCAGTTTGGCATTGTTTGTGAACATCCTTACTACAAGTGAAACACAATCCTACAAAATTTTAGCTTTCTTGCTTCCTTTAAGTTTTGGCCATTTGGAGAAGATCTTTGCTCAAAGCAATGGTTGGAAGACACTCATCCCAAACTTCCAAATGAAGTTTGCTACACTACATGAGAAGAACAAGTGAAGGATTGTTTCTTCTTCATATTTACATAAGCAACAACAACTTGCCAACTGTAATCCCCTAGACTTTAGGTGGTCAGAAGTGAGAATATCGTCACGTTCCACTAGCCATGCAAAGGCTTCTATCCTTGGGGGTTGAATTCAATCATTGCTATAAGAGGTGGTCACTGATGAAAGAGATAGAAGAGTTGCAATGATGGTTGTTGTTACAAGCCTAGGGTCCTAGGGTTGCTGGTGGAAGAGATAGAAGGAGTTGTAGTAATGGTTGTTGACTTGTTGTTGTAAGCCTAGGGCCACTACTACAAGTGGTAGTTGTTGACATAATCCGAGATAGAGGGTGTTGCAGATAGTGATGTTGTGATGGTTGCCATTTGTAATGGCTGTCAGCCCGTTGCTAATGCAAGAGATAAAGGATTGAGGGAGTAGATAGCCATTGTTGGAAGATCTAGGTGGCTATCAATACTTGAGAGCAAGGTTTAAAATTTTGATACGATACGCCTAATATGAGGCATATTGTATCGTATCTTTTAAAAACCGATACAGGATACACGTAGAAATCGGACGTTTTGTCTTTTTTCATGCATATTGGGGGTGTATCGGGGCGTATCGATAGCGTATCAACGAAAAAGATACAACCAAAAACTAAAAAAAAAATAAAGGGGGAAAGCAAGCTTCTTTTCCTCGAAATAAGCATTCTTTCACCCCTCTAAATGACTCTAAAACTCCAAACTTCATTTCTAGAGTGCTAGATTTGCAAAATCTTGCAAGAAACAAGTGTGAATCGATAATTTTTTTTAAAGATTTTTCAAATTTTGATAAAATATGGCAAAAGTAGGTAATTTTTTTAATCTTTTATAATATCTTGTGATTTCTTTTTTTCTTGATTTTTTAAATTTATGTTGATCTACATTTCTTATATTCAAAATCACAATTTTTTTGTGCTATCAGTAGATTTATGGAAATTTCACGAAGATATTTGGGGAAATATAAATTAACCGAAAATTTGAAAATGTAAGTTTTTTTCTTTGCCTATAAAGACTAAATATGTTTTAGATCTATGGATTTATCTATCATATCCATAGAGCAATTGAAATTTCTTCTTTAATATTTTTATATTTTTTATATTTTTAGAATTAAAAAAAAAAATAATAATTAATTATATTTTATCATTTGATCATAACAATTGAATATATTATAATTTTATGGATGATCTATCATATCCGTAGACTAATTGGAATCTCTTCTTTAATAACTATTTTTTGAATGTATTATATATTGTTTATTTATTTTTTATAATTTTTGGAAATGAATAATAAATAATAATTATTTAAACAATAAATAATTATTAATTATATTTTCACGTAGAAGTTGTGCCAATGCATGCTTTATGGTTAGATAGGAGAGTTGGGTTTTTCTCATCCCATAAAACATTAAAACTTAAGAATTATAATTTGTAAATTATATTTAAGCATAGGATTTTTAATGAAATTATAATTAGCTATAATATATTTCTTCAAAAAACCATTAAAATATATTAATATAATGTATACACACCTCATTGAGGTCTTATATTTAGTGTTGTTGATGTATTTTTATGATTTGTTAAAGTATTTATAGTGTTTCCAAGCGTGTCTATGTGTATCTTAGTTTTTCTCTGATACACATGTGTATCCCGATACGTATCTTAAAATTACCTTTCTGATACACTTGGTGTTTCCAATACTTTGAACCTTGCTTGAGAGTCTTTTCTCGATAAACCCTAAGGTAAAGTGTTGACTATTGAATGGGATTATGGAAAAGATAAAAGATGTCTTTACATAATTTTAAATGCAACAAGTTAGGCCATGTTTGGTTAGCAAGAATAGGGGTCTGGAATCAGAATCAGAATCAGAATGGGCTATTCCGATTCTAGTTGTTTAGTTGGGCAGAATTGGAATCCCATTCCCATTCATGCTAGTATGGTATTCCCCCACTTAAGGGAATGGCCATTCCCTGCCCCTCCCTTGGGAATGAAGTCTCATTCCTGCTGATTCCAATTCCTATTCTCATTCCTGTCTGAACCAAATAGACTATGGGAATAGGCCATTCCGATTCCAACTGTGAACCAAATGGACCCTTAGTTAGTTGCTACTCAAGTTTAATGGTTTAACTCATTTGTTCATTTACTTTTCCAATGTTTTTTTTTCTTGGCTGTGTTTGGAAAGAGTACAAATGCAAATATGTGCCATGCAAATACATACAAAATAATGCAAAATATAAGGTTTTGCCCTCTACGTATTTGCATTTGTACTCCTTCCAAACTGAGCCTTAAATGCAATGTAGGGCATAATCAAAAAATAAGGAAAAGGACTTGTTTATAGGTCGAATGGTTTGATCGTTTGGGTCAACATCATTTTTTAAACCTTGGAAACTTGAAGTTGTCTAACTTGTTGCTTGGGTAGACATATGATCTATAGATTTTAGGGAAAATTCTTGAACAATACCCTGAACTTTGGGAGTTGTGTTAAGTCAGTCCCCAAACTTCAAAATGTGTCTTCGTGGTACCCTGCACTTTTAAATTATGTCTAATAGGTCCCTACTATTAGTTGGCCATTAGTCAATATTGTCACGTGACATTAGGTGTGCAATAAATTATTTCAAAATGGCAAAATTACCCTATTATGATATTTTTCTAACCATTTTACCCATTTCGTTTGAGTGTTAAAAGAAGGAAAGGGGAAGAAGGGTTATGAAACCGGACAAGTGATTGTCCGATTACAGTTGATCGTTGAATGGGTGAGCTTGAAAAGGGGAGCAGGAGCTTCAACAATTGATCGGTGTTTGATTTCATAACCCTTCTTCCCCTTTCCATCTTCTAACACTCATACGAAATGGGTAAAATGGTAAAATAATATCATAAAGGATAATTTTGCTATTTTGAAATTATTTAATGCGCACATGATATCACGTGATAGTGTTGATTAATGGTCAACTAACGGTAAGGACCTATTAGACACAATTTGAAAGTTCAAGGTACCGTAGAAACACATTTTGAAGTTTGGGGACCGACTTGAAACAACCCCCAAAGTTCAGGATATTGTTTAGGAATTTTCCCCAAATTTTAACCTTATGATATTACTTTGATTTAACTTTTATGATGCCAAAAAATGTTGTTAGAAACTGTGCCTTCGATGGTCGTTTTTTTCTCAAGTGAAATGATTTTTTTTTTTTTTTATGTGGGAGATTAAAACAACAATGACCAAATAGATGGGTTTAGGATTGTTGGTTTCTCTTTGATTAGGGTTTAAGAGCAAATGGGCAAGAAAGACAATACGTGATTTGTTTTGCCCATTTTGGTCATTTTAAAAATATATCCTCTCACCCATTTGTTTTTCCGGTGGGTATTTTTATAAATTCACTTCTTCCATTACCCTATTTGAAGGGAGTTCGGATCTCTTGCCCACAAGAGCTCTGCCCATGTCTACTCACATAATATTGCCGCCATGGATAGAGAATATCTCATCCTCTTACATAGTATTATGCATGGAGAGATGTTCCCAATGCATGGTGATACTGTTTTATGGATAGATGTGGGTAGAGTTCTTGGTCAGGAGATCCAGAATCACTTAAAGGAGAGGGGGTTTTTATTCAGTATGAAAGTTCATGGGTTTTTCTGGCAAATGAAAATTGAGGGGGTCTTTCTCGCAAATTACATGCGAGGTTTAAGGATTTGTCAAAAAATCGAGAGAAGAGGTTTAATTTTAATTTACCTTGGATTAAATTTGGGAACCAAAAATTCAATGGGAACCAGATCTGATTACGAGATTCCTAAATCCAATAGGATTTTTATCCATCAACAAAATCCAATAGGATTTTCGATTGTACTCAAATTTGTTATCATGATATTTCGGATCATTTTTGGATGTAGCAGGTCCGCACCGGATCCGATTCGAACAGAGCAAGCGATAATTGACAAGCGACTAGCGAGGCGAGGTCGGTGTTCGCTTCATTGATTGTTCTTATTCTTCTGTGCAACACCCGGATGCATTCCCCATTGCGGCAATTTAAAAGAGGAGGAAGAGGAGCATTCAATGGTGTATAAATACAGCGAAGCAAAGGATCGGAAGTTCTCTTTTACTAGGGGGCGCTCTCTCTCCCATCTCTCTGTGTCACCCCCCAGGGAGTCCAAGAGAGGGGTTGAGTTGAGACTTGAGACCATTTTTCTTCTGCTATTTCACATTAGATTTCTTCTCATCTGGGTCTCTTATTCTTTATGTTTATTCCTTCCTTGATTCCTTCGTAGAAACACCCAAGGCTCTTTTGGTGTCTGTGATGGGTGACAGAGTCCCAACTGGAAGTTACTTCCAGTACTCTCCTGGAGTTCATGCATCTCCTCACAGGCCTTCTTCAGGTTCCTTGGATCGAGAAAGGTCTGTTCATTTCCTTTATTATAATTATTTTTAACCATATCTGTTTATTCGTGTATATCTGTTTTTTTTTTTTTTTGAGAAATTGTTTATTAAATAAGTGATTTGCGACTTGATACTTGTGATTTTAATTTGGGTTTTATGATCTCGATTCTGGGTTATGCGTTTTTTGTTTGGATTTCGGTCTTGTCCTTTTCACCGTTCTCATTTGTTCCATTCTTTTCTATACATGAATTAATAGACAGACGGATAGATAACCTCGTGCTTTGTTTACTTGGTTACTTGTAACTCTTAAAGGTTGAGGGCTAAGTTTTTATATGTCTAGATGAGTTTGTAATTACTATTTTTTTTTTATGGGGTGGGGTGGGAAGCACGGACACCTTAAATGGTAATTGAATAGGACATGCTTCTATCAGTAAAAGATGAAAGAGTTCAGGTTGGTTTTGGTTTCCTGCTTTGGTTGCTAGGGAGAGGTAAATGGACATTAATTCTTTGACGTGTTGAATATTATAACATTCTGAAGTAAAAGATGTATTTACCCTAAAAGAAAGCAGATAATTTTATCTAGACATTTTCTAAGTTTAATATTTTTGAAATTTACAAGAGATTCAGGGAATTTCATTTCTGGGATGCCGCTTTTTTGCTTCTTAATACTATTATTTGTGAACCATACTGAACAAACACCAATGGCAAGCCCAAGTTAATTTACCTTTTTGATTAGAAGACCATTTTCTTATATGGAAATCTGCCATACGCATAGTTTTCACAACAGTTTAGCAATGCAACTGACGGCCCTCATTATCTTTTAATATGTGCTGCTAGTAGTTTACTTAAAAAATTAGTTGCATGCTCATAAGGTACTAGGGTCTAATTATTAGTCTATAACATTTCAAATTTCATACTGCCTATAGTATAATGAAGATAAGTGATAAATTGATGAAGTAAGGTGTACTTATCTACAGCAAGCCAGCAGGATAACAACAAAAGGCGATTGCCCTAGCCACAAAACATGATAGATCACCAAGAAAGTTCTACCTGTTTCAACTCTGGATCTTATTTATTCTTAATATCCTAAGCTCATGAGAGGACTTTTTAAGGTTTATTGTGTCAGATTCTGAAGTTAGACAGTAGACAGTTTGGTTAACATATGGAAGAATAACGTCATGATGACTTGAGGTGTAGGAACATAGTGGCAAAGAGAACCAAATAAGTTTGTTGAGGTAATTCTTGATGTAAAAAGGGTAAGATTAGGACAATCAAGCCCCAAGTAGAAAAAAATGAAGATCAACCTTCGTAAGATGTTTTTTCCCTGTTTTCTCTCTGAGGTGATTGCTGTTGAACCTGTAAGGTGGAACAGAAGTGCTGGCCTGATATCACAATAGGAAAGCATTTCTGATGGTGGAAAAAGCTCCTTGTATGATAGTGAAATAATAAAATTAAATTAGAAAAACTGGAAATGAAAACTTGAGATGGATGGTAAGGATGTAACCAGACTGCCTCTTTCGTGGGATGGTAGATAAATCAGATATTTCCTATTATTTCAAAGAAAGCTGGAACATGCTACTTTGCTATTCTATTTTCTTTCTTCCTACAGGAGAAGGGCCTGAAGGAGTACAATGAGTTCCTCTTTTTTGGTTTCATCTTGTTCCATCCAGACTGGTTGCCAATGCTGCATGGATGTGAAAGTGAATATCAGAATCCAATGAATGTTTGGGAATCTGATTTAACAAGGTTTAGAACGTTTTTTTTGTTACTTAACAATGGTTTCTAAAGAATTAGCATTCTTTATGTATATTGACTATTCATTTATGTGAAGTAAGAAAGTAGATAAAGAAAAATGTAATGAATTGTTCATTAAGAATCCATGGGGTGCTTGTTTTTTGTTTTTTTTTTTTTGAATCATCATGTTCCCATAATCTTTTTTTTTGAATCTTGTGTGGACAGTAGAATTTGGAAACCTTCCCCTTCTGGTGTGTTTACTTGCTCTTCCTTTTTTGATATCCTCATTCAATCATCAAACCCTGTAAGGAGTTTTCCTTCAAAGGAGATTTGGTGTCGGCCTCTACCCCCAAAAGTTCAGGTTTTTTGTTGGGAGGTGGTTATCCAAAAAATCAATACTTAAGATTTGTTGCAAAGAAAAAGGCCAAATGTTTGCCTATCACCCCATGTTTGTAGCCTCTGCTTGGGATTTGGTGAGACTATCACACACCTATTGATTTCTTGTCCATTTGTATGCTTTATTTGGACTTGGTTCTCTTCTATCTTTAGTTGTAGGTGGACACCTCCCCCAGATGTGGCAAGCCTTTTTGACCCAAGCTTTTTCAGGCAACCAAAGAGGCGTGGAAGATTAATGTGGAGAGCCACAAGAGCAGCTATCTTATGGTCAATTTGGGAAGAAAGGAATAATAGAATCTTTAAAGGCGTGGAGAAGCCCAAGGAGGCAATTGTAGAAAGGATAATTATTATGACTATTCATTGGTTGAAAACTTTGGATTTGTTTAAAGACTTCTCAGCTGAAGACATTTACAGGAATTGGGAAGTGGTGGCTTCTAACTTCCATGAAACCTATTGTGCAGGAATTGTGGTCCCCACCAACACAACAAAGAGTGAAATTGAATTTTGATGGGAGTTCAAGCAGTAACCCGAGCCCTTCAGGTATAGGAGGAGTTTTTAGAGATGAAAATGGCAGAATTGTGGCTTTGTTTTCGGGACCAATAGGAGTGGGGGACTCATTGAGAGCGGAGGTGATGGCCTTGCTTCAAGGTGTAAGATATGCAAAACAGTAGGGGTTACACCAAATTGAGATTGAGGGAGACTCTAAATTGTTGATCGAGTGGCTGCAATCTGGTAAGTTGGGAGCCTGGATTTATAGACAGCCCATAAGGGAAATCCACGATACAACAAGGGAGATCGGTGCATGCTTCAAATGGATAAGGAGATCAGCTGATGGTTTAGCTGACACGTTGGCTAAACAAGGGACTGTGAGGGAGAGTATGTTCTGGGCAGTTTTGTAAGAAAGATAACTGGGGCTCAACACCTACTTAGGGGTAGACAGCTGTACTTTAATCTGGAAAGTTATCTAATGAAGTTACCGTTTCCAATAAAAAAAAGACTAGGAATTTTAAACACCAAAAGGAAGTTAATTGGCAAGTTGGCTAAGGTTGTTCTAGCTCCATGGAGATATAGTTCTTTTTCCATGTAATAGGCTTCTTACAAAATCTATAAATGATAGGATTCTAAAAGTTGCTGGCTCTTGGATTCCCTCCTAGAGGTAGGCCCAAGTACATCAACAATGACAGTGAACTTGAAAAGTACAGTGGGTCACCTTGTCTAGGATCTCTCTTAGTTGGGAAGAAATCTTTTGTCAATCCATTAACCATAGTTGAGTAATGACATTGTTTTATATGTTACAAGGGTTAGAATTGGAATTTCTTATATGAGATATAGATCTGATTCAATTGTAAAAAGGTAGTTATGCCATTTTGTCATTTTTATAATTAAGTATTGTGGGGTCAGGTGAATCATCAATCTATCCTCTCTCTCTCTATGGCTTTACCTTACACCAGTCATGTTCAATAACTCTAAAACACACTTATAAAGATTGCTATTGACATGAATACAAACAACTATTAATCCATTTTCTCCATCTTTCCATGACCATTTCCAAGAAAGATAAATTCACTAGACCATAGTGTGTTTTTTAAAAGTCCAACTTGGACATCATCTTTGCTCACCCTTTCTTTTCGAATCTTGGACACACTCGTTGGTCATAAGGGTTTGATAAAGACTCTTGGAATTTAGAAACAATTAAAGGTAAGACATTCTCAATCTACTCTTTATGGGACAATTCTCCAATACAGTCCTTGTCATGTGGCAAAACAGTATCTATTCTTTTTTTCATCGTTTAATTTAGAATTGAAAAATTTTTAATAACTAGCCTCATTTGGAAAAGTAATAATATATTTTATAGCAAGTTCTTATTTGATGCATGGTTTGGACTTCTGGATGGGCCAAATTTTCCTTCCATGTAGTTGGAATAGTGAAGTTCCTTTAAGAAAGAAGTACAAATATGTATGTACGTGTGGAGTGTGCACATGCCTTTTTATTCATATTTTTTTGTACAAAAGAAAAGTATTTTCTTGCAAAATAAAGCTGTTTGAGAGCATAGTTGTCAAGGAAACACCTAGGCAACAACCAACAAGATGCCCGTGGAGGGTCTCCTTGCTTAATTGCCTACCTATTTTGTATATGGTGCTATGATATACTCTTGTATTCTTTATTTTTTTTGGGATTATTATAATAAAATAGACATTGCTAAATGAAAATATTCATATTGTGGGTTTATTTACATGTTTCTTTGTTATTGTTTTCTTATTTGTTAGGGTTTAATCAATACACTTGTTGGTGTATGCTGTCTTGAACCCTAAAAGACATAACCTGAACCAATAAACAAGAAAGAACTTAAATTGTCCAATCAATACATTCTTCATTTCACCATACATAATTATTGTCTTCTTCTTCTCCTTCCACCCTTTCTTTTCTTCTTTTCCTAGGACAAAAAGTGGCTCATTCCCTATATTTTCTGAAATTTCTTTTCTTCATTTTCTTCTCATGAATATGTTGATTTTCTATGTTTTAATATGCATATACTTTTCTTTATGAAGATTATAGATAATTTATTAACCAAAGGTGGTTGCGGGTTCCTTGAATTAATTGCATAGGAAGTGGAGGGTGTAATGGAAGACCCCTCAAGCTATCGTAATGTGTGACCATACTATAATCATTTATGCATGGAATGATGGAAGCCAGGAGATCATCCTTTGATCTAGTAACTTTTGTTTTGAAGATAAATACAAATTTTTATTAAAACAAGAAGAAAACAGGATACAAGCAAAGGTGATAAGCAATCACCCTTCCTTCTCCTCAAAACCATTATCCCCTTCCCTCCCTCTGTTCCTTTTTCACCTCTTCCTCTTCTCTTATTTCCTCTGCCCTATGACCCCAATAATCTCAGCTTCTTGACTGCTCTCCCCTTCTTCTCCAATTGCACCTCCATCTCCTTCCGTCACATTCCTTATCACACCTCTTCACTTTTTCCTTCTTCCGTTGCCACTCTTTGCTCTTCCTCTCTTCCTCTCTTCCTCTCTTCCATATCTCTACTTTTCAGATCTTCAATAACATCTTCCTTACCATCAGAACCTTCTTCTAACACTTCGTTCTCTCCTTTTTTATAAAAATGAAGTTTGCCTTCAGAACCCTCTTGGACTTCTTCCTTCTCTTCCTAACATCYTTTTTCTTGTTAAAATTCTCCGTTAAGTGAAAAAGTCTTCTTTTTAGGGAAGACCTTTACCTTTCTCCAAACGAATCCTTCGGCATCGTTGATTTCCTCTTCTATAATCTCCTTCTCTATCGATCTCTCTTCATTTGTTACATTTCCTTCTCGGTCACTTAATCTTTCAGCATCTCTTGTCGTTCCTTGTGTCAAACTTGAAAAACCAGAACTTATAACTTTGTAACCAATAGTTTTAAACAAAGACTCGCTGGGATTATCCAACTAGTTGCTAAAGGGCCACAGCATTCTGCCAAGTTCGGGGCACTATCCTTGAGACCTGACCCACTCTCTTTATCTTTATTATCACAAGGCCTATTCGGTTCAAATGGGGTACCCAAAGTTGAAGAGGCCACTCTCTTACACTTCTTGAGATCATCAAAAGGGAAGACCATCACTCCTGCAACCACTTGAAGTTTCTTCTTCAGCATGTTCAAAACGATCCCCCAATCCATAACATCTCTACCTGCTTCCAACACCAGTCTCCTCTCCCATCCTTTTCTGTTTCCATCCAGAATCAGCTTTTGAATCTTGTTGACGCTGCCAACAACCACTTCGTTTTCTATCACTTATTTTTATTATTCTTGGAGTCTTCTCCTTCAATCTGATTATCATTTTTCATTGACAGGAAATCTTGAAGTTTCTGAGCAAATAACCTCCAATCCGATCCCTGTTTTCCTTCTGGAATACAGACCAAATGTTTTCTATTGTTGCCACAGACCTCTGTCACAGCCACAAACCAACCTTTTTGATTAGATTTTAAAACTACCTGATATTTCCTCCCCTGAAGTTCCAATGAACTCATCCAACTGATTTTTGTCACTGAAAACAGTGCTCCATCGATGAACAACTCTCCATCTTCTTTCTATGACAAAACACCTTTCCATAGCTGAGATTTATCCAAAACATCAGCTAAATGTTCATCAAGCAAACTTCCCCATGTGGAGAATTAGATCACCAACAATCATAAGCTTCTCTCGAAAAGTGACCTTCATTCGAAAGGGATTAGTAGGAGTAGGAAGCTGCTGCTGAGTCTCTTGCCCTAAAGTATTAGCTGAACTAGACTTCTTCCCCAACTTATTCGTTTACTTCTTTGGCTTCCCAACAAGATCCCAGCATGTTTCCTCTCTATTGCATCATCTTTCACATTGGTTGTACCATAATTTGTCTGTAATTTTCCCCTTGCTTCTTACGTATCTCAACCTTCTTATTCCCAATCCTCGTGGCAAGAACAACTGGTTCTCCATTTGGAAGTTCATGGCCAAATAGCTACTGTCCTCTGATTGTACAAGTGCATAAACCTCTTGAGTAGGCAATTCATGACCTCCCAAAATTGGAACATGAATAGGTTCATATATTTGTCTGAGGCCAGTTAGGAAGGCAAGCATTATTTGTTGAGAGACAAGTTTTCTTTAGGTGGTAGTATCTTTTTGGCTCTCCACTCTCCCAGTTGCTAACCTGATAATGATCCAGCTCCTTGTACTAGGGGTTAGAGAGCTTGGTCCCACATAAGCTCGCATAAAGTTATTCCTCAGAATGTGTTCAGCCAAGAAGTAAAATAACCTACTTGGATCAGTCTCCTTTAGCGATATTATTTGTAGGACATTGATGGATGTAATGGATTCTTAAAGAATTATAGGGAAGAAGATGGTGAGAAAAGAATAAAGAAAACCTGCAATCACTCATTTGTTCTAGGCCATATGAATTACTTGCCATTCTTACCATAAGCTGTAAAGTTAAATTAATTAATTCATTCCTCAACCCTTTTTGCACAAATCATATATACCAATCCTATTGGAACTGAAATGAAATTACCGAATTGCCACTATTATAAGAAAATTCAATTGCTCCTAAACTACTTAAAATAATGAATATGCAAAGAATGGAGAAAGTTAGATCTAGTCATTAAGAACTCAAATTGACTCAATTACTTCGTTTCTCCACATTTTTGCAGTTAAAGCATATCCTGTTGGAACTGTGAACGAAATTACAGAATTTTCATTACTATAAGAAAACATAATTGCTCCTAAACTACTTAACCAATGATTATGTAAAGAGTGGTGAAAGTTGGTTCTAGTCAAATAAGTGAAAAATTATATGGGTACCTCTGTTTTGTAAATTGCCATACCCGGTAAGAACATAGCTAATCACTCCTAAATTTCTTAACTGGTGACTATAACCAAACAAAGCTCATTCTTAGTCTTGACGCAGAGATGTCAAATATCCCTATAATCTAAAATTCTCAAGAGCCCAATTTTGACTCTTTTGCTCCTGCATTACATTGCCATGTGTCATTAGCATCATCATGTACCAGAATTTATGTTGCCATGAAAATAAACACATCGTATCTTAAAGTTTCAAAGTTAGATTTAAGAGTTCCAAAGCTGAGATGGTGCAAATCAAATGGGAGAATTATAGAATATGGGTTTATAGATTTTGAGGCAAAACATAAGACTAAAATGGCATTATCCAAAGTAATGGCAGCCTGCTTTATTTCTGCTCATTTCTCTTCTTAGCTACATATATATATATATATATATATATATATGGCAGCCTGCTTTATTTCTGCTCATTTCTCTTCTTAGCTATATATATATATATATTACATGTTAATGTCTTATAGCAGCTCTAGATCTGTTTCCCTTTGTTAAAATTCCAGATTTATGATGTGCTTCTATAATTGGAAATTGTTTCCAAACACAGATCCACAGAGTTTTTATTTGAAAGAGATGGTAACAAAATATTGTGTACTTTATTGATGGTTTTTGCTTCTAATTTTGGTGGGTTTATTTTCTTTTTTGCACCCTATACAGCAATGCTAGATATTTAGCAGAATTGTTGGCAGAGAGGCAGAAATTGGGACCATTTATGCAAGTGCTGCCACTTTGTAGCAGGCTTCTCAATCAAGGTTGGTTAATCATTTTCTTCAGTTGTCATTTTATGTGGTAATTGTTGCATGGTTACTTGTTAGTGAGGGTGAAAGAATTAATTGTTAACTTTTGTCTCTATTTGGTTATCATATTTCAATCCTTCATTAGATTAGTTGGACTTTATCACATTTCAATCCTAGCTTCCCAATCTCCTAAAGTAAGTCCAACATAGTATTCCTATGCGAGATGAAAATCCCATACTTGGATTTTGCAACCTCAATCCCCAGAAAGTATTTCAATTTACCTAGATCCTTGATCTCAAACTCTTGCTGTAGTGACTTCTTGAGTGCATCAATCTCCTTCAGATCATTTCCTTTTACAACTATATCATCTACATATACAATCAATATTGACAAGAGTGCCTCTTTTTTATAAAGAGAGTGTGGTCGAATTGAGTCTGTGTACCCAAAATGGGTAAGTGCCCCTTTGAACCTATCAAACCATGCCCTAAGTGAATGCTTCAGACCATGTAGTGATCTTCAGCCCGAAAATTTTTTCCTTACCAACATTCTCATAAAAACCAGCTGGAATGTCCATATATACCTCATCTTGCAGATCACCATTAAAGAAAGCATTTTTAACATCAGGCTGGAATAGAGACCATGAATAGGTAGTTGTTAGGGACAAGAGAATCCGAACTAAGCTCATCTTACCAATTGGTGCAAAAGTCTCCAGGTAATCAATACCATAGGTTTGTGTATACCCTTTTGCAACCAACCTTGCCTTATACCTCTCTATGCTGCCATCAGTTCTATACTTCATAGTGAACACCTATCTGCATCCTCCGACTATCTCTTTGTTTGTAGGAAGGTCAACTGTTTCCCATGTTTGATTTTTAACCAAGACTTCCATTTCTTCTTGCATAGCTAGTTTCTACTCAAGTTTGGAGAGAGCCTCATTGACATTCCTGGGTATAGACACAAAATCCAAGGAAGAAAGGAAAACACGATAGGAGTGTGATAAGGCACTGTAGGAGAGATGGTGTGAAATGCAATGGGCTATAGACTTTCTTTTCCCTTTGCGGAGTGCAATGGGAAGATCAAGATTAGAGGGATCAACTACCACAAYAGTGTTAGGTGTAGAAACATCATTATCGGGGGAAATAACAGGCTTAGGCTCAAGGGAAATACCTAAAACTGTATCAACCGAACCTGGGATCTCAGATGGACTGATGGAGAGTGGTGCAGGTTCTTCTATCTTAGCATGTGTGGAGTCAACCCTCTTCTGGTGGCACTGATAGACCTGTGAGGCTGGCCGTAGTGGATCAGGCAATGGGACTGTAGTTGTTGATGGTGGAATAGGTGGATCAGATGAAGGAACAAATGACATTGGAAGAGGGACAGGTTGTGAGTTCTCCTCCCCAGAACACTCCCCTTGAGGAGAACCACTCAAGAAAAAGAAAGTGGACTAAAAAAAGGTAACATCCATAGTAACAGACCTGCTCCTCAACATTGGATCATTATTTTTTGGAAAAAGGTAAAGTAATTTATTCAGTGAGAGAAGATTACAACAGGCTCATGCCGCTAGGTCTACTTGGACACAAAACAGACCACAAGAACATCCATGATTTAGTACAAAGTGAGATACATTTTGGTTTTTAAACTCCTCATTTACCGACACCCTAGAACAAATTTTCCCCACCACTTTCTACACTACCTTTTCTGGGCTTTTAGATCGACATTGGATCATAACAACAATACCCCTTTTGATTTTGAGCATATTCAAGGAAAACACTTTTCTTGGCTTTAGGATCCAATTTCTTGCGATGAGGACCAAGAATGTGAATAAAGGGGACACACCCAAAAACTCTCAAAGGTATATGAAATATCTCCCTGTATGAAAAAAGTAAGCTGAAAGGTGCCTTAAACCCCAAAGTGCGTGAAGGAACACGGTTAATCAGATACATGGCTGTGAGAATTGCATCCCCCAAAAAACGAATAGGAACTGAGGCACACACCATAAGCCTCCTTGCCACCTCAACAATATATCTATTCTTTCTCTTTGCTACAACATTCTGTTGCGGTGTGTATGCACAAATACTCTGATGAATCACACCATGCTCCAAAAAGTATGAGGACAAGTCCTTCTCAAAGTATTCTTTAGCATTATCTGATCTGAAGACTTTAGTCCTTACTCCAAATTGTATGAAAACCATTTGGTGGAACTGTTGCACCAAAATGGGTACTTCATCACGTGATCTCATAAGATATATCCAAGAATACCATGTATGATATCCACAAACAAGAAAAAATAACGATAATCACCCATGGAAGAAATGTGGTAAGGACCCCATACATCAGTATGAACAATATCAAAAGCAAAGGAACTTCTTTTATTACTTGGTTTAAAAGATTGTCTATAATGCTTTCCCAACTGACAACTTTCACATTCCAAACTAGACAACTAAATAGACTCAAACAACTTTGGAAACAAAAACCTCAATGAAATGAAAGAAAGATGACTCAAACGATTATGTTAGAGCATAATATAACTCGCTGACTCTGATCCACTATTGCTACTGCTACTAACATGATGGTTCTAATCCACTGTTGGTCATGTGCTCAAATGCTCCTGAGTCTATAATCCAGGGAGGTCCCCCCTTACTTGAGGTGAATACATGATTTGCAATTGCATATGAACTACCTCTGTGAGCAAAAGTAGTATGGTTGGCTCCTGCACTGTTCTGCCCATCTGAAGAGCTAGAACTGGCTGAATCCTTTTTACTCATAAGCTGTCCATACTTTTCCATTTCAATCCTCACTGTTGTTGCTGCAATGGACTCCAAATCAACCTGGGAGAGGGGTCTTGAAGGGTCTCCTGCAATTGCCACATTTACATTTCCCTTCTTGTTCTTGATTCGAGTTGGTACGAGATGAGGGTAAAGCTTCCAATAGGTGTCTCTAGTATGCTTTGTCTTCTTGCAATAGTCACACACCAAATCCTTCTTGTCCTCCTTCCTAGCCTCACTACTCCCCTTGTCTCCATTTGGCTTAGATTTAACTATACTAACCATAGCTAATTGATCAATCTCAGGTTGTCTCAACATGACATTCCTCTTACTCTCCTCCGCAGAGACAAAGGCATAAGCTTGAGAAAAAGTCACACTTTCTCTAGAAAGGAGATGTTGCTTGGCAATGTTAAATTTAGGGTTCAGCCCAGCCAAGAACTCAAAAGCCCTATTATTTTCTACCAACCCTTGATAGGTTGCTGCATCCTTCATACTCTCCCAAACCACAATTTCTAAGTGGTCGATCTCTTGCCAAAGAGTTTTCAGCATGGAGAAATAGGTGGCAAGAGGTCTATCTCCCTGTTTTGTACTAATAACTTGATTCCTTAACTGATAGGCTCTATCTCTCGGTTTCAGTCACTCCATCCGAAATCTCCTTTGCAGTATTAGCCCACAAAAAAAATTTACCAATGTGAGGTAACATAGAGTTATATAGCCAGGTCATCACCATGTAATTCTCCTGTACCCACCGGGAGGATCTATATTAGGTTTCTTCTCCTCCCTAGTGATGTACCCCAGTTTCCCATGAGCACCAATGGCCTTCTTGGTTGATTGTGCCCATTCTAGATAATTTGTACCATCAAACTTCACTGTAGTAATAATTCCAGACCAAAAAATATCACTACTACCTCCAATACCCAAACCCATGTTACTGGTGGACTTTTGCTCGATACTCCAACCCTCCATTTTACTTCAAACAAAGCAGAAAAAAATTAGGTGAAGAGCTTCCAAGATCAAATCGATCTCACACACAAAGGTAACAAACCTTTCCGGAAGAAGAAAATCCTATCTGGAGAGAAATCTCTTTCCTCCCACTGTCTCCCATCGGAGAGAAAAGTGAATCGGCCACTCCAGAAGGCCCAAAAATTCCAGAAACCTAACCGCCCTCAATAAAATACCTAGAGAAGTCCAACAATAGCTGAGCGCCCAAGATCAGAAAAAAAGTGTAGAGTCCAATTTGACTAGGACTCTTCCCTGCATTCCCATTCTTTCTGATTTTGATGCCAAAACACAGATCACCCTCCTGATGACTAGATCACACCAAAAAAATCCAAGAACTGGGCAATCTGAAGTAGATCAATCAGCCCTTTATCTCCTCATGCAATCGGCTGATCTAGGACTGCATGAAAAAAAATTTCAAGAAACCCTAACCTTGCTCTGATACCAAGTAGAAAGGTGCTGAAATAAGAAATCTGTAAAAGAAATGAATATTTCTTGAAGAAGAAGAGAAGAAAGGAGAAAAGGAAGAGAAGAGATTTGAGAGAGAAAAGAGATCAATAATGCTGGCCGCCCTTTCACTATTATTTATATTCTGAAATAGTAAAGAGTACAAAAACTAATATGCCCATATAGGGCAGCTAACACATAAAACAATTAAAATAACTGCTCAAAAAGGACCCAACAAGAGTGATGTGGTCCCCACTTCCTATCTGAAGAATAAATAATCAAAAACTACCACTATAGACTACATGATTTGTTTAAAACCTCAACACCATGCACCCCTTGTTTAGCTAGACAATTTGCAATCCCATTTTCCGATCTTCTATCCCATTGAAAATTTATTGTGATATTTATTATTAGCAATTTGAATCTCCTCAAGGCTCCCCTATAAGTCCAAGCCATTGTCTCTGGTTCTTTCAACCACCCAATTACTAATATTGAAGGTAATTAGTGTTCAAAACTCTATTCTTTAGCAGTCTCTACTCCTTGTAGCATTGCTTGGACTTTTGCACCAACTGAATCCCCCACTCCAATAGGACTATAAAATAGGGCAATAATCTGACCCTGTGCGTTTCTAAGGACTCCCCCAATACTGGATGGCCTTGGATTGCCTAGACTACTATTATCGAAATTTAACTTGATGAGTGATGACACCTTCTTCATGGGGCCTCTACTTTACCATAGGCTTATCTATCACAATAGAGCTTTTGGCCACCAATTAATTCCCTGTTCCTCTAGTTGTCATCACAGGAGAAAGGTGAGGAGAGGTCCAAAGATTTAGCCCAATTTATAGTGCTTCTAACTATACAATCCCATACACCAACCTCGTCCTTCTCCATATCATTGAATATTCTGGCATTTCTTTCCTCCCACATAGTCTATACTAAAGCAGCCCTAGCACACAATCATAAGACTCTCTCTGTTCTCTTTGGCTACATGAAGGTTCTAGTGTTAAATAGACTGCTAGTTTGCAACAGCACTGTCCACCTGCAACCAAAAAGCTTCTCCCAAAGACCTACAACAAAAGGGCAGGAGATTAGCAATTGGTAACAACTTTCTCCATTTTCTTTTGGGAAATTCTGAGACAAGATTTTCTTTTTTGCAAAACTGCCTAGGAGCGAGCAGCACTTTAGAAAGGCATGCGCTTGGTTCACCTAGGCATGCCTATTTGGGTTTGCCTAGTACAATACATTTTAAAAAGGTAAGGAACTAAAACTAAATTATAAAACCAACTTGTTAATTAGGGATTAAGAATTTAAGACCCTGACATGGATTTATTTGGGCTTGCCTCAAGGGGCTCAGTAAAAATCGCCTCGTAGAATTAGAGTAATGCAGTTGGGAAAGAAGTAAAGAGCTTAAGAGTTTCATGTGCTTAAGTTGTTGATTGCTTGAATATGTTTTATGTGTTATTTCTATCAAAAAATATGGTTTATATGCCATGTTCAATTTTATATTTACATCTTCACTTCACTTATGCTTTATGTGTTATGTTTATGCATTTTAGTTTGAGCTAATGCGCTGTTTAAAACATTTAACTTAGAATTTAAGTATGTATTTTTTAAATTAATTTTATTTATAATATATATTTTTCATTTTTTGCTATTGTTTTTTATTTTTATACATTTTTGAGTTTTTTAAAAAAAATTGCACCTCGCTTCAAAAAAGGCATGTGCCTCACCTTGCGCCTCTGGTGCAAAAGGCTCCTTGTGCCTTTTTTTGCACCTTGCGCTTTTAAAACACTACTATAAATATGAATCTATTGATTATCTTCCTGCACAGATTGAATAAAATACAGAAGTTTACTTTTTTATTTGGATGTGTGATGCTTCCAAGGTTTGGCTGTGAGGCTTAATATATCCCAAAATGATTCCTTGCTTTCTTTCGTCCAAAGTCCTTTCTGCCCTACATTATTGGGTCTATGCTTTAATGTTTCTTGTGGGGTTCACCTCTTATTTTCTATAATTAATTTTCTTAGAAAAGTAAAAGAATTGAGAAAAGGATTATAAAGAGCTGTTATTGGTAGAAAGAAGTGAGGGAGGGAGGGAGATACAAATGAGAGAATAGGGTGTAACAGCCCTAGGGGTTGGCCAACCCTTTAGTATTTACACTTAAGTGTTTAAAAAGAAGAAATTAGGCATTTATCCCTCTTTAGTAACATAGGACAGCCTTATATATCGACATATTTCTATGCTCTCTTTCAAGTGGAGTATAGATGTCTATCATTCTCAACTTGTGTACCACTAAGTTCAACTTCTTTATTACTCCCTTAATAAAAAAATCTGCTATTTAGTCTTTGATTCTGACATATGGAGAACAAATTTCTTTCCTATCTAGATTCTCCTTTATGAAATGTCTATCAACTTCCATGTTTTTGGTGTGGTCATGCTGAACAAGATAGTGGGCAATGTTGATAGTTTTTTTGTTGTCACAATACAATTTCATAGGTTCTTGAGACTCCACTCCAAGTTCTTTTAAGAATAATTTTAGTGACAATAAATCCTATAGTCCATGCCATAGATCTAAGTTTTGTTTCAGTATTAGATCAAGTAACCACATTCTACTTCTTATTCCATGTAACTAATAATTTCCACCCATAAGAGTTCAATATTCGAAAGTAGATCATTTACCATCAATTGAACTTGCCTACTTTGCATCAGTGTGGGCTTCTAGGTCCAAGTATCCATGATTCGAGAACAATAATCGTGTTGCACAAGAGGCCTTCAAATATCTTAGAATTCTCTTAGCAGCTGCAAGACGAGGAGCATGCATATTGGCTTGTCATTCCAACTTCATGAGCCAAATAAGCAATGTCTGGCCTTGTTAGGGACAAATAGATGAGTCTCCCTACATGTCTCTGGCACATCCTTTTGTCTTCAATCAACTCTCCATCAAGACCATTGAGATGGTAATTAGGATTAATGGGAGTGTAAGAAGGTTTGGCACCCAGCTTCGTTGTTTCTTCAAGAAGATCAAGGGTATGTTTTCTTCGAGAGACCTTACTACCTTGTTGCCTAAGAAGTATTTGAGATCTCCTAAATCCTTGATTTCAAATTCTGAAGCTAGGAATGGCTTTAGGTTTTTAATTTCACAATGTTGATCACTTGTAACAACTATATCATCTATGTAGACTATTATTGTGATTTGCATGGCTTTGAGAGCACCCAAACTTCTTGATAGTAGTGCTGAAATGATCAAACCATGCTCTAGCTTGTTATTTGAACCCATAGATTGACTTTTTCAACTTGCAAGCTTTTTTACCTTAACCTATATTTGAGCAGCTGTTTCAAGTAACACAAGACCTCTACTGATTTGGGAGTCAATTTCACAACCAAGAAATAGTAATAATATTTTCMTACTCCTACACATTCAACAAAGGACCATCATAAGCAGGTCTCTTAGTCTTCCTAGTCAAGTAACCAAGCTACCTCTATCATCCATGTACACCTTTACAAATTGGACCATTCAAGGAAATTAGTCCCATCAAGTTTAGTAGTGGCAGTCTGCAAGTTTGAATGTTCTCCAAGATTAGTAATAGACTATGTAGCCTATGAAGTAGTGGTAGATTGATCATTGAGACGAGGAGTCTTGGCCCATATTTGATCAACTTACATGTATCAGATCAAGGCTACAAGGACCAATAGGTAACCAACCCATAGTGGAATCAAAAAGTCGCAAATAACAACAATCTGGTATGCATATATATATATATATACACCATATATATACACCAAATATTAATCCTTGCATCAAAAAATATGAAACCAGCTTCTAACAGTAGAAAAGTATGGCTAGGATTATCTTCAATTGATCCCAAACACAAACCAGCTTCTTGCTGCCTCCATGATCAGAAAACCCTAATCTCAACTTTCCTGATTTTCAGTATATTATGGGAAGATAATAAACTCTAAAGTAATGATTTTGATTTGGGCTCTGTTCTTATTCATAAAACTCTTTAAATCATGCTTTATTAAGGGATGTGTTCCACTTCAGTGGTTGATACTTGTGCACTTCCCCTTTTAAGGAACCTGAAGCCTTTCTTGCTAAGAATGTAGTGGGAGAAAGAAAGAGGAAAGTAAGAACAAGAGAAGAAGAGGAAGAAAGGAGATACAAATGATAGAATTGGGTATACCAGGCTAATGTTCAGCCCACCCTTTAGTATTTGTGCTTAAGTGTTCAAAAAGAGGAAATTACACAGTTACACTCTTTAGTAGCACAACACAGCATTTTGTATTGGCATATTTCTACAAATTTGTAAGGACAAGAAATTAGGCATGCTGAATGGTGGATTTTTTCTACAGTTTTTTTCCCTCTTTTCTGTTTTGCTATTATTGACGTATGCTGAACATTTTTTTTAGAAAATTTACTATCATTTTTCAATGTCACTTCTAATTATAAAAAACACTGAATACTGGTAACTGTGGATGAACTAAATAAAATCATCTTGGTGAAGATATGCCTGGCTGCGTGGAACAATATGATTGTCTTAATGTTGGTTATTTTGTTCATTTACAAGATCACTTAGTTCAGCAGTAAAATTTAGAAATACAATTTTCTTGGCAAATTGCTACTATTTAGATGTGTATTTATCTTTATTTTGTTTTTTAATTTTTACATCACCCAATACTGGGTAATCCTTTTAGCTTTTCCTAAAGCTCAACTGCTTTTGTCTAGAAATTGTACGAGCATCTGGTTTGGTACCAAATCAAACTTTTGTGGATCATGAGAGAATTGAACATGAGAGTCCTTTGAGATCAACAGCTCAACACCCAGATGGTGGACCCATGGATTTGGAAGGGTGGCCTGTTATGCACTCAGAGGTAATGATATTTTGTTCCCTATGTCATAGAAGTTCTCTGGAGGTTGTTTTGAGTGCTTACAGGTATTCATTTTGGATCTCGTTGGGGATTACACAACATGATCCTTCTTTTGTTGAAGGCTTCTTATGAACTATTTCTTTTTCCTTCCTTTTTTAGTTAATTGCAAAAACTCGGTTCTTGTGACACTTGACTTGTATCTGATTGAGGCTCCATAGCTTGCTAACCGTCTTAGATTTGGATGATCTGGACTCATCAGTCCTATCTTGAAGATGTGCTGGACCAAAATCATATTGAAATTTCATGTGGAGCCTTTTTTAACCAAATATTTGGGTGCTGGTCAAAAGTTCCTTTGATTTGTTAGGAAGCTGAGAAGTTGATGCATGAATCCGTGGTCTAAAGGCGAGATTATTCTATTTTAGTGTAAAAGATAGTTGGGACCCACTGAATGATTTCTGTCAATATTTTCTGTGTGGTTACTTTTGGGTCCCAGTGTGCTTCTGTTCTTCATTTTGAGGTAGTCACTTGATTAAATTTCCTGAATTGTGGTCTCTTCCATCATTGTTATACTGCCATTTTATTGTTTTAGTTATTGTAGATGTGATTGCCTTGGGGATTGTTTAAGTGCCTTAAGTTATTGATTTTGAATTGGATTGAGAATCACAACTGTATTCTGCTGAAGGTTTTCTACCTAATATTTTTTTGGTTTTCTTTTATCAATTACCTAAGATTTGACATCATTGTTTTTATTAACTACTGGCTTACTAAAACGGCTAGTGTATTTAGAGAGAAAGATCCCTATGTAGGGACTAAATAGGAGACTGCAACAGGTTATAGTATAGTGTTAAAGGCATTCTTCAGCTGTATCTTCACAATCCCCTTCAAAATGATGTGGGGACAACATCAACTTGTCAATAAAAGACTCGATATGAGATTTAGATCTAACTTTGGTGAAGATGTTGGCAACTTGATGATCACTACAATGAGAACACCCATATAAAAGTGCAATGTGTGGAATCCATTATGTAAACAGAATTACAACTGAGCCCAATATAAATGAGACTTATGCACCCCCTTGATTAGCAAAATAATCTTCCATCCTTTTAGCTGGCCTCCTTTCCCATTTGATTCTAAAAGTCATTTCTCTAGTTAACCATTTCAATCTTTCCAGTTCCTTCAGCCACCCAACTATCAATTTAGAGTCACCTTCAATTAACCAACTATCATAATTTAATTCTCTGACAATTTGTACTCCTTGCAGTATTGCCTGGAACTCAACATGCACTGAATCCCCTACTCCTCAGGACCTGAAAATACAGCAAGAAAGTGCCCTTTGGTATTCCTTGAAAACTCCTCCTATCCGGCCCTGGGTTTACTAGGCTGCTGCCATCAAAATTTGACTTCACAAGACCTTCTTTAGGGAGTAACCAAGCTACAATAGGTTTACTGTTCACAGTAGAACTTCTTGCTACAGATTCTCTATTCTGTCATATATCATCAAAGGAGAAGTCTTAAAATAGGTCCAAAGATTTAGCCCAATGTATAGACTGCTAAGTATGCATTCACAAACTGCCTCCTTGTTTCTTTCTTTATCTTTGACGATCCTATCATTCCTCACCTTCCACGGTGACCAAGCCGTGGAGGCCCTAGCACATATCAACATGACTTTACCTCTTCTCTTCAGCCAACTGAAGGTTGTAGGGTCAAAGAGGCTACGAATCTGTAGGGGCTCACTCCACCTGTCATCGGAAAGACAAAAGCTGTCCCCAAAGACCTACAACAAAAGGGAATGAGATTAGTAGGTGACTAGGTGGTAACAGCTTTCTTTGTTTGCTCTGTAAAGGATACACCAGTTTGGGGAGATACAAAATAAGGTCTTCATTTCTGCAGAATATCCAAGGTGTTCAATTTCCCATGAAAGACTTCCCAACACAGGGCACCATCCTTGGGAGGGGGATGGGTTTGGACCAAATTTCTTTAATGGGAAAAGACTGAGGGCTAGGGGTTGAAACCAAATGGAAACGAAAGAGGCACATACCAACTCCCTTAGGGTGAGGAGTCCAAATACGACCATTTTGCTTAGAGTATAAAAAAACAGAATGAAGGATTTGTAAAAGTGAGGCTGCTCCATCAATCTCATGGTCTCTTTAATTTCTCCTAAAACCTAAATTCTAGCTGAAATTGGTCAACAAGGAGGAGGATACATAAAACAAAGCATTGGATGGGTTCTTTTTTAAGCACAGATATAGAGTATAAGGAAGGAAAGAGGTCCTTTAGGGTTAAGTTGCCAATCCAAAGGTCCTCCCAGAAGAGGACTTTCTCCGACACACATAGCATACCCCAATGTTGCGAAGATACCCCGACGTCCAGGTGAGAGCTGAGGTAGTTTGATAAGAAACCCCAACACTCTAACTATTGCTTGCATTTCCATGAATGCTACTTACAACCTCATGGCATAGATTTTCCCTCTCTTGTGGCCATCCCTAGGCCAACTTGTTACAACTTTAAAGTCACCTTGAACTACAAGTTTCTTCATCACCATTTCTATTGCTTTTTGCACCTCAGAAACTGCAACAATTAGTTTTACCCTGATTGAATTCCCTTCATTTATTGATATTTTTTTATGATAATTCCCTTCTTCTATTGATTTTGAAAAGATTGTGTATATTATTCCATTTTCATCCCTTACTACTTCTATTCCAAAAGGTCTTGAATTACCAAAGTTACCAACAAAGTTCAGCTTTAAACACCTCGTTCCTTGTGGTCCCCAACTTCTTATCATCTGCTTTTTTGTAAAAGATCTTGCAACTGTCTTCTAATTCCTTAATATGTCATTGTGAAGTCTGGAAATAGCTCCATAGATTTTACCCAGTGTGTCACCTTCATTGTTATACTTTCAATGATAACCTCCATACTCTTTTTATCCTCAATATTTTGAGTATTCATTTCAGATGTAAATCAACTCAAAAGAAAAAAAAGGTATTCCAATTTGAAAATAGAAGAAAAGTGGAAAGGATAGTAGAAATTAGAAGATGAAGAAGATGGTGAGAGAAGAAGGGAGGAGTAAAGAGTTCGATCAGTTCTTCTCCTTTCACCTAATCACTTTTATTAGTCAAGCCTCAAAGGACCTAATCACATAAAAGAATGAACAAACAACTAATAGGCCCATATGGACAAGATCCATTAACATAAACTTAACAAATAAAAGAAGATAAAAAACTAAAAATACACTAGAGCCCATTCAGCGTAGTTTCTCTTCACTTCCCTTAAGCTGAGCATAGATGTCAATCGTGCCCAACTTGCTTATATAATTTAGTAGCTTCCCATTTTGGAACTCCTTTGGTCAGAACATTAACTAATTGTTCTTTGGAAGCTATAAATGGAAAACAAACTTCCTTTGAAGCAACTCTCTCTCTCTCTCATATGAATTGTCTATCCACCTCAATATGCTTTGTCCTGCCATGCTAAATAGGGTTATGAGCAATGTTGATATCCACTTTTCATAAACAATGCCCAATTCTCCATGAAACAATGTTCCCTGTCACCATAGTGCAATAACCTGAGGTGGATCTCATCATTAATACAACCTGCCCAATTTTGGTTTGTATGAATGTATGAACCTCTAGCTTCATATGCCCATGTTTGGCAAAAAGAATACCTTTCCCTAGAATTCCCTTTAGGTAATGCAATACCCTTTCAATAGCTGCCATATGGGTATCTCTGGAAGAATGCATAAAAGGAACAATTACACTTACTGCATATGAAATATACGGTCGAGTCATGTAAAGATACAATAACTTCCCAAGTAGTATCTGGAAAACTCTCCTATTAGTCAATAATTCACCATCGATAGTCGAGAGTTTATGATGTAAATCTATAGGTATAGAGGCAAGTTTGGTGCCATGTTTTCTAGTCTTGATGATAAGGTGAAGAACATACTTTTGCAAATAAATGAAAGCTTTCTTTAGCCAAGCAACATCTATTCCTAGGTAATACCTTAAATCCCACAAATCTTTAATTTCAAACTCAGTGTCCAAAAACTTCTTTAGTCTATGAGCTTCCTTTACATCATTACCAGTAAGCACTATCATTAACATAAGCGCTAAGGAAGGTTTCCAAAGAGTCTTTCCTCATCACAAAAAAGGCTATATAAGCAAAGGTCTCCAAGCAGTTAGTTCTATACATTTGAGTGTCCCTTTCGCTACCAAACGAGCCTTAAGCCTCTAAATAGTACCGTCACTATGGTACTTGATAGTGTATACCCACTTACAACCAACCGGTTCTTTCCCATCAGGCAAATCCACAATGTCCTAGGTATTGCTCTAATGCAAAGCATCTGTTTTTGTCCTCATAGAATCCCTCCATTTTGGTGTAGGTAAGGCTTTTGTTACAGATCTAGGGATGGCTTGTGAAGAAACAGAGTTAGGGGAAAGTAGACTGTAAGAAAGGTGTTTGGAGATATAGTGAGTTGTACACTTTCGTTTACCCTTTCTAATAGCAATAAGTAGGTCTAGGTCTGGAAATGTAGTRGGGGTAGAAGGGGTTTGACTTGTTATGATGGGAGATGCAGTCTCCACTAGAGGTGTGAGAACAACTTGCTTGTGCATGAGCCTTTGTTGTTGATAACAGAGATAACAGAGGTTACAGGCTGAATTCATTGACTTCCTATATTTATTCAAAATAGGAAACTGACCCAAATTGACTTCTAATTTATGAACTCGGATGAACCTTTACAGTTTCCAATTTGGACTGGGAAACAATATTAACATCGTCCTCTCACCCAAACATTCTGAAATTGGTGTATTGGAAAACTGGTTTGTTCTTCTATGAGTTCTTTCCTTGCTTCAGTATCTGCATCAGTTAGTCTTTTATCTCCATTTGGCATAGGCCACCATATTGATGTGAGATTAAAGCCCAAATCCTAAAGGAGAATTTCTCAGGCCCTTTTAATATAGATGGTTTTGATTAATGTGATTCAATAGGGAGAGACAGTTGGTGATTACATGAAGACATAGTTCATCATTTAGGGGAAACAGTTTAAAGGTTGTCACTTTCTATAGAGTGATTGAATTATCAGTACACTCTTTGCATTTCTTCATGAAATTTAAAAGAATTGAAGGAAAATAAAATATGTATCATATAAAGTGCTAAATCTATCTTGCCATTTTCTTCTACTTGTTTACTTTCCTAATTTTTATTTATTCTAGTACACCTTGCTTCAGGAAAATGGGCTTCTCCAACGGATGGGCACCTTCCAAGCATCTTCAATGGGCTGGACTGGGGCAACTGGAGTTCCAACTAGTCCTGTTGTAAAGAAAGTTATCAGACTTGATGTTCCTGTTGATAAATTTCCGAATGTATGTAAACTATATTCTGTTCTCCTTTTTCAAGTATAGATTGACAACCATTGTTAAGTTTGCCATAACACCGTGTATGGTCCACAGTATAACTTTGTTGGCCGACTATTGGGACCAAGAGGTAACTCCTTGAAAAGAGTTGAGGCTACCACACAATGTAGGGTGTACATAAGAGGTCGAGGCTCTGTAAAGGACTCTGTTAAGGTATTGTGAACTTAATCTTTTGTTTCAATGAAATGGACAGTTCAATTAAATGGCATAATCTTTTGTTTCAATGAAATGGACAGTTCAATTAAATGACATAATCTTTTGTTTCAATGAAGTGGATAGTTCAATTAAATGACATAATCTTTTGTTTCAATGAAGTGATGGATAGTTCAATTAAATGACATTCATCAAAATTAAGTTGAATGGGCAGTGCAAAAAAGAGAATAATGTGATTAGTTTTAGAGCATTGATTTGGGCACATCACATTTTTATTGGGGGTGCAAGTCGGGTACCTTCTTCACAGCACAGGGCCTGGGTCCGTTCAAATGTTAACAAATGCCAGCTTGAGCCTGCCCAAGTTGCAGCCCTGAATTTTACATACCAGGCACATCACTGGTTAAAAACACAGAAGTACCTCAATTTCTAATGGTGATAATTAGTATGTTGGGTTGCTTGCTAATTCTTAGTGTTGTCTTTTACAAAAATTGTATCTACTGAAGTAAGAACTGTACACCCTGCATTTATCCTTGACCAACTGGTAATAGTGGCCTTAAAGGGTTTTGTTTTTGGGTGGTTGGTTTTATGTTCTTATGGACCGGAATATGGTTGTTCTGTTGTTGGTTTTATTGTCTGCAAAGTGGCTTTTCTTGTTTTGTGCTCTTTAGAAGCTGTGGTTAGCTAGGAAAATTGAATGATGTTTTTTTTCCTATCAATGATTATAAATGGGGCTTCTTTGAGCTCTATGAGACACTGTGACATTCCAAATATTTATGTACTTATTATGAAATGCCTAGAGATACTAAAGAAGTAAAGAGTCTTGATGGGATTTGGTTGGGAACTTGAAGAAGTTTAGAAGCAAGTTTGACAGAAGTTTAATGCAGCTCAAAGTTGGGGGATGCTAGCAAATAGTTAACCCACAGCATTCCAGGACAACTCATCTAGTTGTGGATCCAAATGATCTACTTAGTTACATGCATGAGCATCTTGAGCAATATGCTCACGTTCTTCATCAGTTATAAGGTTCTTTTCTTGTTCCCTTTACATCCTATTTTGCACATTCAAGTAATCAGGCTAATGAATTCTACTAGTAAGTCTAGCCTATTATCCCCATATTAGTGGCTCTCCAGTGGAGATAAAGTGAGACTTGTAGATAGTTCTTTTGAAGGGATGGGATATCCATCACATGGACGCCCAAATCTTGCGGAATAGATAGGGCGAATTTCAAAAAATTTTCTCCCAACTTTGCAGGGAATCGAATTTCCTATTTCAGAAAACATATTTTCAAGGATCAATCTTGAACCATAAACCAAATCAGATCTGAACCAAAAGGGGTAGGAGGGAGGATATACCTGATACGGAGAAACAATATCTCCCAATTGAGGTGTTCACGCCCAAGGAAGGATCCAAAATCTGCTCCCACTGAAAATGGCGCAGTGCAGGATGGAGCGGAATCAACAATGTTTTTCCAAAAGAACTTGACCCTTCGCAAGAATCAACTGGATGGCTTGCGAGTATAGCTCCAACCAATCTTTTTCCAAAAGATTGGAATCAAGATCAGATCTTGATTTCTCCCAAGAACTGGAGATCAAACTAAAGGCAATGGCGGCGGCAGGAAGGAAGCGGCAGGAGAGAATTCGCAGGGTGCAGAAATCTCTCTTTCTGTGATTTTTCTCAGCTCTCAAGAGAATCAGATGTCTCTCTTTCTTAGGCTGCCGCCCCCTTCTTTTATTAACCTAAAAGATCAGCTCCTAATCCAATTAGGAGCTGATTTGGATAAGATCTCTCTTTAGGTGATAGGGATAAACCCTTATCTTATCTACAGATTAGATTAGCTTTTTCCTAATCTCATTAGGAGGTTTCTAAATCTGAATCACATTCAGATCTGGACTCTCTGAGTGGATAGGGTTAAGACCCTATCGTATCTGCTAATCTATCT